GTAGAAGTCTATAAGTGTTCATCAAAACTGCAAGTGTTATATTTTTTAATTCATTTAAGATACTACATCAAGCACCTCGAGTACATCCACATCGACAACATCAACAACGACCAGCACAACAACTACAGGTATACAGAAGGATACAAGCCCTCTTAAAAACAACATGTGTTATACCTTTTAATCTGTTTTAGAGACTACATCAACCACTTCGACTACCTCGACAACGACCAGCACAACAACTACAGGCATGTAGAAGTCTATAAGTGTTCATCAAAACTGCAAGTGTTATATTTTTTAATTCTTTTAAGATACTACATCAAGCACCTCGAGTACATCCACATCGACAACATCAACAACGACCAGCACAGCAACTACAGGTATACAGAAGGATACAAGCCCTCTTAAAAACAACATGTGTTATACCTTTTAATCCGTTTTAGAGACTACATCAACCACTTCGACTACCTCGACAACAACTAGCACAACAACTACAGGCACGTTGAAGTCTATAAGTGTTCATCAAAACTCCAGGTGTTATATTTTTTAATTCGCTTAAGACACTACATCAAGCACCTCGAGTACATCCACATCGACAACATCAACAACGACCAGCACAACAACTACAGGTATACAGATGGATACAAGCCCTCTTAAAAACAACATGTGTTATATCTTTTAATCTGTTTTAGAAACTACATCAACCACTTCGACTACCTCGACAACGACCAGCACAACAACTACAGGCACGTAGAAGACTATAAGTGCTCATCAAAACTACAATCATTATACTTTTCAATCTTGTTTAGAGACTACATCAACCACTTCAAGCACATCGTCTTCAACAACATCAACGACAGACACAACGTCTACAACGTCAACATCTTCGAGCACTACGACAACGAGTATGTACAAAAAAGTGCTCTTCTACATAAATTAATAGCTCATAAACTTCTTAAGAAACCACATCAACCACGTCAACAAGCTCATCAACGTCGACTTCGAGCTGTAAGTATAGCTATATATTGGCACGAAATAGAGCATGACGGAACGACAAAAAGTGGTCTCATCAGGACGTTTTGAGTTCAGTTTTGTCTACTCTGGAGAACATGCCTTGGCTAAAAAGTCAATGCCTGATAGATGGATGAGCTCATTAGTTTCAGAACTAAACAATACTACATAAGATTTTTGGATCAGCATTCTATACAATGCTTCAATATATTTATCCAACTGCTTTTCAACCAAGCTAGTTACATCTTTTATTGTTTCTTTGAGATGAAATTAGTTACTGGCTGAGTCACGTACTTCATATATGCTTCAATGATGCAGATGTGATCATCACTTTTGCATACTTTATTCAATGTCGTCCTTTTGGTGAGCATAGACTAAATCACCATTATGATGTGACACATATGCAGTTGTTTTTCGCTTGTTGTTCCATCGGTAGAACTAGAAAAAAACAACTTTCAGTTCCACCTGCGCCACGATTCGTCTCTCCTACGTACTTTTTTTTCTGTCCTATCATGCTTTGGTGTCACATGATAAACTGTGCATCTGTTTATCTTCTTTAGCAACGACATCAATGACATCAACAACATCCACAACGTCAACAACGTCGACAACATCAACTACAAAGACAACATCAACAACCTCAACGACATCAACGACATCGACTACGTCGACTACCAAGACAACATCAACAACATCAACAACTACGACGGCCTATAATTCATGCAAGTTATTTCATGCTAATAAAGCTCATTGTATAAATATTAATTTAGGTCAAAGCCTTCGTTGGAATCAAACGGGCGTAACCGTTGCTGGCACTGGTACCAGTGGTTCAGGATCTGCTGAATTTAAAGATCCAGCGTGGGTGGAGATTGATGCAAACGATACAATGTATGTAGCTGATCATCACAACTATCGCGTTCAAAAATGGGTGAAAGGTGCAACAAATGGTGTGACAGTAGTTGACGTGAGTACTACCGGTGATCATCCTGAATCAATCACTTTTGACAAAAATGGATATATGTATTTGACTGGACATGAGAATCAACGAGTGGCACGTTATCCCCCAAATTCAAACGTCGGTACAACCGTTGCTGGAATAGCCGGTTCCGCTTCTAGTGCGCTTAATAAACTTAACAATCCTTTAGGTTTAGATGTTGATGATGATTTGAACCTATATATTGCTGAAAGAGACAATAAAAGAGTTATGAAATGGGCTTCAAATGCAACAGCCGGTACTATTGTCATTGGAACCAGCTCGACCCCAAAGTTTTATGGACTTTTGCTTTCACTATATTCACCGGATCAAGCATATGTAAGTTCTCAAGATACAGATTCTGTGTATCTGTGGAAGTTTGGTGACTCAACACCAAGCGTAACTCTCACTCAAGTCAATGGCACTCCTACCACCCTTAAAAATCCGAGAGGCATGGAATATGATACGTATGGGAATCTGTATGTTTCCGACCAAGAGAATCATCGTGTGGTAATGTATTGTGTCAACTCGACGATAGGTAAAGTCGTAGTTGAAGACTTGGCAGCCAAAGATCCTATGAAACCTATGGATGTGGCCTTTGACTCAAACCTCAATCTGTATGTCCTTGATGGGCCTGGTCAACAAGTAGTTAAATATAAAAGACTCTGATTTGATTCTATACCTCTCTTAATGTAACAAGGCATATTGAGGTATAGACAAATGAACCTACTTGTGAAAAGTTTTCATTATTTAGTAGTGTGTATTCTAAATAAAGAAGTTCTACTTCAAACGAAGTCTACCTTGAGTTAGATGAATTTATAGCTATAAGATATTTCAATACTAAAATATTTAATCATTCAATGATTTTAGGACCTAGGAAAACTGCTTATTTTTCAGAGTTCAACCAGGCTAGGCATGTATGGAAACTGAAACTCTTGGCCCATATCAATCTTGGTCTTGATTGAGACTCTCATGTCTCCTTGATTATCCATACCAAGCCAAATCAGATATCCAATACAACCAACTTATGAAGATTATTCAATTTTGCGAAAGCCAATGAAGTATAATTCAGAAATCTTGTCATTTACACAGTGAATAATAGGACTCTGCAATGTGATTTTTCATAAATTATTGTAAAGTTTCAAGAATCGTCCCCCGCCCCCGCCTCTCCCCAAAAAAGTAATCAACATTCAGCTAATACGTCTATCTGTTCGAATTCTCTCCACTTTACTTCAGTGTAAGCTAATTAGATTTTATCGACGCTTTGAGGCAGTCACTCAGATTCTTCGAGTTTATCTTTCAACTGATCAGGCTTTTCTGTAAATGCGAGTTTCAAAAAACCTAATTGGTTGAAAGTAAATGTTGAAGATAATTTGTTCAGCTACTTTAAGACGACAAAAGAGTCCAATTTGCTGCTTTAGAAAGTCGAAAAATCTAATGGCTGGAGGAAAGTGCTGGAAAAAGCTAATTGACTAATATAAATATTCGGAAAATCTACTTGGCTAGAAGACAACAGAAAACAAGCTCATTGATTGGAACAAAAAGTCGAAAAATACCTCATGGGTTGCAATGGAAAAACGAACAAACAACAAAGCTGAGAAATACTAAAGCAAGATAGTGACTCGTGTGCAACTGATGTGAACTTGAATTGTTTCAGGAATAGAGGCTGGTGTGGTCATAAGTATTAGTCACGGTCACGTAGATGGTTAAAACTTGAAAGCTGAATTGAATTCATCTTTTAATTTTGACATGGATGGCAAGTCGAGTTTGACCGAAACACACTAAGTGAAAATTGCATTAAAGTTAAATTTCAACGCCTTTGTGGAACTGTAAAGTGCAAGATCAATAACATTCTGTAAGACCGTCAAAATTTATCGGAAGAAAGTTGGTGAAATTCATGACGTCTGTAAAAATGAAGCGCAATCAAGTGTTCGACCTGTAACAACGATCTGTTTCATTTCACGAACAAGAGCTCGGTGAACTATGTGACTGAATACTTTATATTGCAACACTACAAGATGCAATTTGTTCAATAAATCTATGAAGAAGATTTGCAACAGAGAGATGAAATGTGTAAAACAATGATATCAATGTTAGAGAACATTAATATTAAGAAAAATTTGATTTTTCTCTGATGAATCTAGATTTAATTGAAAAAGATTGGTCAATAAACATAATGTCAGATATTGGTAGGAAAGTAATCTGCACGCAATTATTCAAACTTCTATGATTTCTCTGAAACTCAACGGTTGGCGTGCAATGCCAAAAAATCCATTGATTTATTTCGACGACGATACTGTCAATGGAGAAAGTTATTTCTTCATACCATAATCCTTCGGTATTCTAGAAGTAAAAATACTACATTCGATATGCATATGCCTGCAGAGTTGATGATTTTGAGTAGATTTGGTGTTAGTGTGAGGCATGAATGTATGAGTGTGAGGTGCAGGTCGTCTAGATGTGGATGTAAGTGTTAGTGGGTTATCAGGTTCGGACGCATTGGGATAAAGTCTACCCCTACACTCTTATCACAATATCCTGAGCTTTCAAGATATATGAGTAGAGGAGTTCGGTATCTATCTCTTTGCACAAAACTCACTGAAAAATCATTAATCTAACAGCGATGGGTACCACAAATTCATGGAGCTAATTCATCGGTAGCTATGCTGTGAATCTTGATAACCAAGTAATGGATATCACGACATTCCTTGGCTCCTCCCCATTTTCCCGGCATCGTACAGTTATTTTTTGAAAAAAAATCTCCTAAAAGATCGGTAGAGAGATATGGTCTGACTTAGCGAGTTACACGTTCACCAGATAAAACGCCGCTCGATTCTTTGTATGGAGCACATTAAAAAAAACGTCTACAAATCATTTATAAAAGATATTGCTCGATTAAAAAAGAGTATCAATAGAGACATTCAATCGATTTCAAAAAAGACTTTTTGTAATGTTTTTTTTCAAATATTTTGAAAAGGGTGAATTTATGTATTCCAGTTGATGGTAATCATTCTGAATATTCGTTGTAAACTAAATTATATGAAGTAAAAATGTAAAGAACAGACTAGATTACCATTAAAAAAATCAATTAAATCACTTGAATTGTAGAGAAGACATTTACGTTAACTTTGCCGACGGACATTTGGGACACCCTGTGCATATATGAGTCACTTCAATCAACACTGATCATCATTATCTTTGAACTTCCTGATAAAACGATATTTTTATTAGTTATATTAAATGGAATATTATGTTATACGCTTTAAAACAACAGTATTGAGATTTTCAAAAACCTGAATTTCTCTCCTGAATAAACAAATTTTAGGAACTGTTCCCATAAAAAAACCGTATCAATAAAAAAGTGTAAAAGTTATAGTTTCTATTACAACAATCGAAACGAATTTTTCGGAAAATCTCTGATTTTCAATAAATGTCTTAACGTTCTTAAGCCATTCTAAATAAATTTATAAGATATTTTGTTGATTGCCCCTATATTATAAAGAAAAACTTCTAGGTAAATGCTGAAGCTCCCAGGACGCTACTAAGCAACTTTCATTTAATCTCAAGAGAAACTTCTGAAAGCAATGCGGTACGAAAAAGTCTTCTTTATATATTTGTTTCTTTTTACAAAACAAACCAAGTAAACAACATCATGACTTAACTTGATTAATGAATAAATTTGAACTTTTTTTATTATGTCTCTTAAATTCAAATACCATTTCAATGGTTTTGATGATTTTTGTTAATCATTAATATCCATAAAATATTACTAAATCATAATTATAATGATGCGAGTTTGGATGGCATATTAAAGAAAAAAATTTATTTCACAAAGCAAAAATAGAAATTAAAACATAAAATTAAGGGCAAAGAGGTATCGATCGACGAATAATAAGATGAGTGTCAATTGGAAATGAGAGACGGTCATTTAGTTTGAGTAAGCCGTCATACTCTCCTTGCTTGTATAGAAGAGCAACGGAATTATTGCTATTCTGTGCACGCACAAAAATTTCATACATTCTATTATCAATTGTCAAATCAATTGTAGTTCCTTGATATTTCAGACCATGAAAAATGAGTTTTGTAAGTTGATTTGGTAGATGACCACGAGGTTTAAATTCAAGTTGATCTAATTTTAGACGAATACCACCATAACCAAAAAGAACAGCTTGTAAGAAACCTCCAGCACCTGTTATAAAATTAACTGCACCAACACCTGATTTAGCTTCAGTCCATACCTATAATATAACAGAAAGTAGTTCGACATGAATATCAATATGATAAAAATTGACTAACTAACATTGAATGGAGGTCGAACATAAGTTTCATAAGAACGTCGAAAAAGTTGTTCAGCTTTGTCGAAATCACCCAATTCAATAAAGCCAATCGAATGCATTGACCAAGTCATAGCCGGACCATCAGCACGAGTTAAAGGTTCATAGGCTAATAAATCATTTCGTCTTACTTGTTCACTCATTGGCCACATAAGTGGAAATCCAAGAAGAACAACATCAGCTTGTTTAATAGTCGTATTCTCTTAATGAATAGATCAGAATAATTTTTTCGAGTAAGCAATATCTCTAAAATTACTTACTCAAGTCAAAACCTTCATATTCAAGATGATTTTGAGTCAAATTATCAAATGGAAAATGTAAGTTTGATGCAATATCAAGCCAAGATTGAGGCGTCATTTTTTTAGTAATGCAACTAACACTATCAGCCAATTGAATAGAAAGTGAAGCAACTGCATTCGTAAAAACAGAATTATTTTTGAATGGTTGAGCATCTTCATCTGGTGGTAAGACAGCTAGAATAAAGGAATATATATATATATGAATTTATATGATAATTTTAGAGGTTGTTGGAAACATGAAAATATTTTTATTTCAGAAAAAAAGACTTACTTAATATTTCATATTGGTCTTTCTCATGATTGTATACAGCTCTCGAACTCCAAAATCGAGCTGTCTCATAGATAAGTTCCCCACCAAGTTCGTTCAATAGCCAATCTCGATTATCTGTAGCTGCAATATATTGCCTGGCTGCAAATGCAATATCCCCTGTAATATGCATTTGATAAAGTCGAACTTCAGGACAGCAATCTGGTGTAACATCAATACCAGTTCTAGCACTTTCCCAAGGAAATCTAATTAATAAAAACTACTTAATAGTAAAACAAAAACAAAAACATGAAATGTATCAAATACCTCCATCCTTCATAGCCAAATAGACGAGCATTATCAGTTGCAGCATCACGTAGAGCGATTCGATATGATAATATTTCTTTAGCCAATCTAAGAAAGAAGAGCCCATCAATCAACATAGATATTGTTTACTGTAATATCCGACATAATCTTCATGAATATCGAAATTTTCTTCTATCACATGCTTTCAACAATTTATAAAAAGAATTTTGTCATCCATCAAATTTCTCATGCTATTCACTTACGTAGGATAAAAAAGAAGAACTGATGGAAACATCCATGTTTCTGTATCCCAAAATGAATGGCCACCATAATCCTCACCCAAAAGGCCACCTCTCGAAAGACTACCAGGACTGAGACCATAGAATTGTTTATGTTCACTTCGAGTAGATAATGGCGGTAGAGAACTCAAAATATAATAAAAAGCAGAATTGATTTGTCGTTGTAATTCATCATTTCCATTCACTTCAACATATCCATTTGACCAAATATCATTCCATCGTGATATATGTGATAATAATATTTTATCTGATTGTTGTTCACTTGTTGCTATTGAAAATTATTTATGTTTTATTTACTCAAACAAGTCTATAGTTTACTTACCATAATCAAAACTTTGTTTAGCTCTTGATTTTTTTTCATCAATTGAAGTAACAAAAAGATATGTTCGATTTGTTTCTTCTTTATCAAGTTCTAATCCTTCTACAGGTAATGGTGTATAATAAACAAATACAGATAATGGTTCTTTTTGAAATTGATTATTTTCTACTTGACGTGTTTTTCCAGATAAAAGACTTTTATAAGAATAATAAATTACAATTAAAATACAATGAATATCACTTACATATATTCATCATTACGAGTTTCAACTGTAAAATCAATATCAATACTCGTCACTTGTTCATTTACTTCGACAGGCACAACAATTTTCTTTCCTATAACATGATATTTCATGGAACCGTTGATCGAAAAACAAACAAGATCTAACCTGTAGATGCTAATCGAGTAAGTGTAACATAAGTAATTAATAATTCTGTATATTCTTGTGAAGCCAAAAGATATCGCTCGATCCGAATTTCATCATTTTCAAGTGTTTCGATAAAGATACCTAAGAATATGATAAGATTAAAAACAATTATTTTACAAAACATCTTACCTGAAGAAACATTCAGAGTATATAATGATGATGATGGTTTAATATTAAATTGCCAATTGAGTGTACTTGGAATACGTGCTCGATGACTCGTACCTTTAAATAAAATATGAAAACGAAAAGATAATAAAAGTAATATACAAACCATTTTCACCATTATAAAGACCATTCATATAGATGAAATCACTAAATACAACAGTTGCTACATGTCCATTACCAATATATGGTAGAATACGATAATCTAATGAAGAACCATTCGAAGGTAATCTATATTTAAATTGTTTATATAAGAATATTAATATCAAAATTAAGATATTTTTACTTATCAGTACTAAAAATTGTCGTAGATTCAGATTGTTCAATAGGTGCTGTTCGAATTAGAATAAAAGCAGATAAAATAAGTAATAAGAAGAATAGCATTATGATAACAACTATAACTAGTCGTATTTTGATGCTGCTGTTTTTATGATCATCATAAGGATTAACATACAAATCATGTGTAAATAATAAACTATAAAGAGACTCTCGATCAATATTCAAGGACATTTTATTTATTAGATAGATTGACGATTGTATACGGTAGAAGCTGTTGATCTTACAAGGTTAATCTCATGGTAGTCGATGGTTGGAATGACAGAAAGAAAAATATAAGGGTATGACGTATATAATAAAAAGAAACACTATTTTTTTTGTTATCCTTCGGGAGGTGAATACATCTTTGAATACCATATAAGAAAGTTATGTAGTACTTCTCTTGACATGTATAATCTGTTTTTTTGTCTTTATATCAATCTTGTTCTGATGTCAAATATATATTTGTATGCTTAGATATTTGCTATTATCATTGTGTTGATAGGAAATATTTCGCAGAAAGACTTCCATTGTTAATATTCTTTATTTAAGACCTTAAAACTGTTGTATAATATTAACAAACAATTGATTTCATATCATCATGTTTTAAAATTAGAAAAAAAAAACTTGCCAATGAGGCTCCATGAAGGATCAAAGTGTGCAACTCACAAACTCTGACTGTTATAACTTAATGACATACTACCAGAGGAGTTGAAATAATTTAATTTAGAATAATCTCAAATAAATCAAAATAATAACAATTTTTATAGTTAATAGACACGTTCTGAAATTTTATCATTTGGAAAATGCTGGCATTTAGAATAACTCTTCTATCAATTTATTAGATTGTTATAATGAAAACAAAACTTCTTTATATTGTCAACACATATTCAATACATAATTTATTTTCTCCTAATGATAATATATACGATATATGCCATAGGAAGTGGGCAAATATCATTTTATTCTTCATTTCATCGGTTCAACTACTATATTAGTCTGCTATACACATTGACTTAATCGTTCAGTGATCTTCCTTACACATCATTCTTTCTCTTGACGAACTTTAACATACACTATTGAATTTTACTATTCGACTAATTGATATCTACCTTTAAAATTCCTTCGTTGAATTAAATACCTGCAATATTTAGACTAGTTAGAATCGACAACAGAACTTTTAGATTTATGGAATGTTTTGAAAAATTCTAGAAAGCTCCAGAATAATCTGAGCACTGTTATTACTAATGCGCCATCTCCCGTTGCTATGAAAACATACTTCGTGAGCTTTGATTTTGTACCTCTCATCTCCGATTGCTGAATCTATAGGAATGGAGAAAAAGTCGCAAAAATCTTGATATAAACTTACACTCACTAGTTTTTTCGAAAATATATATAAGTTTCAAAAAAGAATTTTGTTTTTAATAAATTTATTTCAATACTGATACACAAAAAAAACACAAATATTCAACAAAAATCAATAAAATTTAATAAAGAATCTAAATAAATTTTCTGTTATATGATATTATTAACCTTGACATATTCTTTCACATGTTAAATTTCCATGAAAAGGTATTAATTCCATTTTTTGTATCTTTTTTACAGAACCAATCACATCAGATATTACATATTGTTGTTTAGGTCCATAAGGTGATTGCATAATAGCATCATGTATTGATTGTCGTCGTGAACTTTGATGTGAAAATCTCCATTCTGAAGTTCCACTAATCATATGATAAAAAACAACATTACTATTATTGAATGGTGAAAAAAATATTTCAGGTCCACATTTATCACATGCACCAAAATTTTGTTGAATCCATTGAATATCTTGATTAACTGCACCCCAAAATAAATCTTTATCAATATTAAGTAAAATTGTTTCTTTCATCCATGAAAATGATGCATTTTCATATTTTAATAAATATTCAATTGTTTTACCACCAGAATCATAAGCTCGACCTTGACGCGCAGTTGGTGCTACATCAAAACTATCAATTGAATTATATAATTGTGGACTTAAACAAATAAATCCAATCCAACAAAATCGTGCAAATACTGCTGGATGTTTTCGACAAACTATATCATGAGAATTTAATAATGTTGCAGAATTAAATTGACTTAAAGGTAAAACATCACCATCAAGTATAAGAATAGCAGTACCATTACTAAGATAACGTTTAGCTCTTGTAGATATAGCCCAATTGACAATATTCGCATTTCTTTCAGATGGTCCTGCATTAGGTCGATGTTTCTCATGTGGAAAACTAAAAAGTTCAGCTTGATGTTTATCAGTGACTTCACGCATTTCTTTTGATGCGTTACCGTCAGTAAATAAATTAATAGTAATTAAATTAATAGCAAGTTTTCGAACAAGATATAATTGAAGATTGGCCAGAACATGATGCCTTGTTTGAAAAAGAAAAACAGCTAAAGTACCATTGTCATCTTTAATATTAAGACGTGAAGCCGGAGGAGGTCTTTCAACAAGCAACTCAGCTGGATCAATAGTAGTAGGAAGACCAGTAGTAGTTGTTGTAGTCATAATCGAATATTTCACGGTAGTATTATTAATAATGGGATATTTCGTAGTAGTATTTGTACCATTTGAAATGACAGTATTAAATAGTGGAATATATATTGCTAATATTCGAGTTCTATTAAGAGTTCCATAGAATTTTGTAAATGTTTGCTTTAATCTATAATGATTTGTTTGAAGTGATACATAATAGAAAATCAATATTAAAAACAGTAGTAATATGAATAATTTGATCCAAATATTATTAGAAGCTTCCATCTGAAATATATCATCATAGATGATTACTTTTCCTAAAGGTAAATTTTTGAATTTTTTTTTCACAAAAATAAGCACAAAGCAATGTTAGAAAAGGAATTAGTTTTGTTGGTAATAACTTGTCTATAGAAAAATATTTTTACAATTAATATATATCAATATTAGCTTTTCTGCGATATGTTTATTGAAAAAAAAAATAATTTAACTTATTAACGTGTGCATCTACACGATTATGCTTAATTTTGATATAATAATTAAATAAGGCATTGGTATGATGTTCTTTATTTTCTGAAGACAAATAAATTTCAATGAGAAAAGAAAATACGTTCATATATAATCTTGATGATTGAAATATGAACTGAAAAGTTACACTTTGACAAACTAAGTCAAATAAGGAATGAAAAAAATAATTACAAAAATGTCTTGTTTCATTATTTCAAGTCGTTTTTTTTTCTATTTAAAATGAGCCAACAGAGACGTATAATAAATTATTTAGTGAACACTCAAAAATATAATGGTCGTTTTCATTTTTGTTGTTGTTGTTAAAGAACGGTAACTTTCTAAATGTAATAAAAAAAAAAGTACATTTCTGTCATAAAGATTTTATAAGAAGATGAAGAAATATTTCTCAATAAGTAAAAGAAAAACTTGCATTGATTAGATTACTATACATGATGATGAGAATATAATTTTAATGATAAAAAAATTAAGAAAAAAATTTCACTATAATTACTTTTATTAATTGTAAAAAGAGTATTCAAATGACGATATGTATGCTCTAGTAAAACTTGAAAACTTATTCATTATTAACCAAAAGAATGAGTAAAACGCTTTTCTCTAACAGAGAAAATTTCATTATAAAAACGATGATGAAGGAAAAAAGTCTCTTTAAGCAACATTTGATTATCGAACAAGAAAAGAAGTTGAAAATAATAAATATGAGAAGTAACTCTTTAAGTATGAGTTGCACACATTCTCATCAGAAATAGTCTTATACAAAAAAGAAGTATATGTCGATGTGAAAAGAAAAAGAATATAAAACATCATTTCTGTTCACCTAAAATTATTCTCTTTTATTGTTTGACTAATTAATATACATACAGTAGACGACAAAAGTCTCCCCCCTAGAGAATCTCAGCCACAATAGATGCTGAAGACCTGAAAATGTGTGTGCATATAGTCCGTCAAGCATGTAGATCAGAGACACAATTTCAGCTCGATTGCTTAAAGTACAAGGAGAATTATGATGAACAGAATCTATGTTTTGCATTGAGCTCTTGAACCTAACTACAGANGGAACAATATTTTTTGAAACGGTTTGGGTCAAAATTCTTAAAACTCTTCCCTCTACAGCATATGTCAAAATGAGTAGAATCTGCTGATCTCTACTTGGCGACTTTTCCAGAAGTGGACCCCAATTTTACCCAAATTAGTCATTATATATAATAGAAAAGATTTTTGTTCAGGTCAAAAGTAAATACCCAAGGTTTTGAAAATTGCTGCTAATAGCTGAGAGTCAGTAGTACTTATTTCCAAAGTGGCAGCTCATGACTCGCTCATAAGAGATAGAAATCCTAATCACAATGTCGAGTATATCTAAAACCTATGAAATACCTTTATATTACTTAGTACGTCGAAAACTGATTTTGAGTATACCAGTATGTAGGGTACCCACGGTAGTATATATCCACAAAATTTCAAGGCTAAGAACATTATTGTTGAATTATGGAGAAATATACAATGTATAAGTACTACATTGCTTATTGTCAGTTTTTACCTGAGGGTGGCTCTATTGTGATTGCAATATCCCTAGAAGAGAACGATTTTAGAAACTGAAATTTTGGGCGTTTTTATATCTTACTTGGGGCTGCATACGGGCAAAGTTTCATCAAAATCCATGAGATCGATTGAGCACGGTTGGTAGTGCCTACTGTGCAATGGCTCCTAGGGATTTCAAATAATTTAGAGTCTCTTTCATGGTTTACTACTGACAATAATTATGTAAAACATTACGACTGGATCTGCATGAGCTATACTCAATGTACGGAATTTTCAAGCACGACGACAGATGTAGGATATGGTTCTTGTACCCCACTATATGAGATTTATATACCTAGTACTTTGTCAACGTTATGCATTTGTGCGACTCATAGCTGTAATCAGAATTAGTCAATGTGCCAAGCTTCGGTGGCTTTGTTTTCACATTCACCTCGTTTGATACTACTTCCTTCTAATTTTACCTCACCTGTATCATGCTGCGACCAAGCAGTTAGAAACAGTCAGCGAAAATATACCATCTACCGTTGCGTGTATCTCCTGAATGATTTTTATCCCTTCGTAAATAAAACGTTATGTAACGCGTACTTTGCAAACAATACTACGATGTGTGGAATTACTTGGAGTGCACAAATGAGTTTCAATTATGATTCAGTATTGAGCTAGTGGTGGATTTTGCCGTAATATAACACCGCGCTCGTTGGCTATTGGTAATTCATCTACAATGAGACTTCGACTGATTTGCTTGGTTTAATGCCGTCTCCAGGCGAAACACCTGCCATACAACCAAGGGAAAAAGAGTATTTCTAAGTATTTCTGCATTTCAGAAATGTCTAGAAATACCTGGAAATACATACAAATACGGAGATAGGGAAATACCCTTTTTCCCTCTTGGATTAACGTCATTCGAAAGCATAAGCCTATGGAAGCATGTATATCATGAAAAAGCCATTATGTACAATAGATCTTCATAGGACAGTTATTTGCCGTGCCCTATACTGCTGCACAAGCAAGCTAGACGTTAAAGAAAAAAAAATCTCTCCATTGAAAGGCAGAACAAAATGACCAACTGTCCATGTGATGGTCTCTAATCAATGCTGAATTTCGACTTCTTTAAGTGCGTATTTGATGATAAACATAAACAAACTTTGGTTTCATCCAGTTTATTCGACCATTGTTTATATATAAACTTTTCTCTGAAAATGTAATTAAGTTTACATGCGTTATATAAATATGCGAATAGTTCTAGTGATTAAATAGAATGATTTGTTTTTCTATGGAACTGAGCGTTATTATAAGAGATTTCGATCGATTTTTCTTTATAGAACAAAGAAGAAGGCTTTTCTATTAATCAATGATGCTCTGTACCCTTGTCTCAATGAATAAGTGCATTTCTAAAAATTCCTTTTTATTATATAGGATGATTCACCAAATCCACAATGTTTGTTCTTAATATATTATGATTTAATTTGGGAATATGATAAGTACATTGTTTGTCTTCTTCGTCGTGTCACAGTTGAAAAAATTAACTTTGCATGTTCGTATCCATAATTAAAATGCATTTATTGATGATATTAATTTTCGAAATAGAATTTTCGTTCATTTGGCATGACTTAATCCATTCAAATTTGTTATTAGAACTAACACCAGCAATTATATTTTGGTTCATTTTTTGCCTAATTATGATATGAAATCAACTTTTCCCAGCATATAACATCAAGAAGTGTCTTGTATCGTTAACTTTAGTATGAATCGAATCATATAATATATCTTTTCACTTACCTTTGAATTCGCTCGACTTTTGTATATTGGCAACATATTTCCAGGCATTCTATTTAATTTCATTACCCCTCCATGGGTACGTGACATGGTACCATTTGAACTTGAATTCTTCATACGGATTCCAAGAGTTTTTTCATTGTTGAAAGATTTTAGCGTTATAAACCTGGAATCATAATTGTCGTATGCTAATAAATTATCTGACGCCATTGAATCATATGCAATCATTAAATATCCTCATCTCAATTCACTTAACATTATACATGCAGAAATTGATTATATTGAACCAAATTGCTAAATGAAATGAAGACTCATTTATGTTGTTTCATTGAATTAACAGTCGTTTATGAAGAGTTAAGAATTGTAATAGAGAATTTTACACGAGATATTACGCGATGCAATTGTACAAACGTGAAACGATTAACAACTGGACGAGTAATTGCTAGTTCGAAAGATTTCTATGCATGTTTTCCTTTGTTATCTATAGACATTACGTCTGGTTTTTGGAATAAAGTTCAACAATAAAATATTGTCTTATATTTTTGATGAGTAATATATCAAGATAACGAATGTTGACTAATAGGGATTATTATATCATGAATTATTCGCGGCGATTCATTTACATAAAACACGTAAATGAGAATATGACATGTAACATAAGAGAATAAGTTAGTGTTTTCAATTTTATTTTCATTTTCATGAACTAGCAAATTTTCTTTTTCTTTTATTTCTTTTTCAATATGGTATACAGCAAAAAACTTTAATTTATCAAGTTTGTTTATTTGAAATGTTGTATACCTATTTCGTGTTTCATTATATCTACGAATACCATTAGTTCTTCTGTGCTCCCGCGTAAATCTTGAATTAGCTGTTCTAATTGGTTTTGCATTCATCGTTATCGTGAATTAAATCAGCTGATTTTTTGTTTTTTAATTCATTAACTTTTTTCTTGCTCATTATTCATTAATCATGACTGTCCGTATTGATATCTCTGCATTTGTATGATTGATCTAAATAAAATCAAACAATTTTTATTTTTTCTATACAGTTTCTAAGCTGCGTTACTTGGTATTGATTTTTAAGAATTGGATCAATACTGCTTCCAGAAAAAGCTTTGTCTTTATTATAGATACTCAAGTACTGATATATATTATGTATGAGAGGGTGTGGGGAAAGAGACTATCAACAACCACAACCACACCCACACCCTCTTCATAGTCTTTCTTTTCTCTTTTTATGTTTTGAAGAAATTAATTTTTCAATAAAATAATATATGTCGATATGTTCGAAAAATGAAAGATAAAAATTTCTAAAAATATTCCCTTCGGTTATTTGATATACTATCAATAAATCACCAGTTCCATAGATGCTTTTTAGGAACCGAACTTGAAATGGGAACTGTGGTTCTAAGTCCGGTTCCGAATGTTTTTTTTGAATCGCAAAGCTCT